GCACCATCATTTGAAGTGAAAAACGCAGGGCCGAGAGGGGCTCGTGGCATTGAAACTTGATATGTCGAAGGCCTTTGACCGGGTGGAATGGCAGTACCTCTAGGCGGTGTTGCTAAAAATGGGGTTTGACAGGAGGTGGGTGGATTTATTGCAGGAAACGGGGGTTTTGACTGAAATGAGCATTGGGAAGTGTTTGTGGACAATGATAGGAGGTCAAATTTTTTTGGACAAGAATGGGAAAAATGAGTTTGGGAAACGCGGTTGTGGTCAAAACCGCATTTCTCAAACTCGTGTGGCGGGCTTGCATACTCTACGGACAACCGCATTTGGGAAACGCGGTTGTCGTATAATATACGACAGTCGCATTTCTCAAATGCGGTTGTCGTATACACAAAGCCGCGTTTGAGAAATTCGGCTCTCGTATATTATACGATAGCATACGAGAGCCGCATTTCCCAAATGCGGCTATGGTATTTCTTCATCGCCTGCACCCCGCCGGCCGGCGATTTAGCCAGCTATGGCATTTCTTCGAAAAACGCATTTCCCATGTTGATCACTCTAGATACTTTGCTAAGCCCTCCCCGAGTCAAAAACCAAAACCTGTCAAACACATCTGGGTGCCCATAGTGCATTCGGATTTTCAGAGGGTTAGCTAAGACACATTGACCCAGAGTGACAAAACTCATTTCTTGAGCTGACATGAACCAAGCGAGGGATGAGACTGAACCAGTAAAAATATGTTCCTTAACTCCCAAAATTTTTGGCTTGCGGATTCCATAGTAATGCTTGAATTCCTCCAACAGATTCCTCATTTTCAGTGCCTCCTCAAAGTAATTATCTTGGTTCATATCGATTGTCTGGACTGCATCTCCCCGGGTGAAAATAAGAGCATGATTCTGATTTTCAGGCTTTCCCTCCCCAAACTTCAATGGACCAGGCAACTTGACTCGATAGATCTCCACTTCCTTCTTCAGTTTTTTGTCGTACTTCACTAGCACAGAATAATACTCTATCTCATCCCTTCCTCTTACAACCTCATCAACATAAGCAACACGAAGAGCTTCATTGTTTTCCATCAGCTTCAAGATGTCTTCAGCGTGGGGATCCCTTTTGGCCTTCTGAGTACCATAAATCTGACAGGCAACCACATAAGTGAATTTCATTAAAGAAGTCCCATATTCATAACCTTTAAACAACAAACTCACAGAACTATCAGCTCTGCTCAAACTTCTAGATGATGGTGCCCTTTCTGAGCTCAAACCATCAGGTCCCTCACTACACCTCATAGAAGCAAGCTCGCGTGATCCTTCCTTTATGTCCACCTCAGAAGCTAAATCCAAAAAAGCCAGCATGTTAAGAGCTCGGTAATATATAATACATCATTCCTCTCACTGTTCGTGCAAGAGTCTGGCCTCTGTATGATGCCCAAAGCCTAAGATCTTTAAGCCTTTCTGTCCACAACTCTCTTTTCTCATTGGTCATTCCTTCTCGTCGCATTCGCTCCAAGAAATTCTCCCACTCATCAGCATAGATTGTCTGCAAGTAATAGAGTATGGAAATACCATCTTCGTTTTCAATTCGAAGTTGTTCCTTGCTGTACAACACTTCTTCATTGTAGTATGGGGTCAAAACACTGAAAGATCTCATTTTCTCAACATGAGGAGCATGTGGCATGTTATGAAGAAATACAATGCGTTTATGACGCCTGCTAAATCGCCGGCCGGCGGGGTGCCGGCGATGAAGAAATACCATAGCCGCATTTGGGAAATGCAGCTACCGTATAATATATGAGAGCCGCATTTCTCAAACGCGGCTTTGTGTATACGACAACCGCATTTGAGAAATGCGGCTGTCGTATATTATATGACAACCGCATTTCCCAAATGCGGTTGTCCGTAGAGTATGCAAGCCCGCCACACGAGTTTGGGAAATGCGGTTTTGACCACAACCGCGTTTCCCAAACTCGTTTTTCCCATTCTTGTCCAAAAAAATTTGACCTCCCATTATTGTCCACAAACACTTCCCAATGCCCATTTCAGTCAAAAACTCAGGAAACGGTCACATTAGTGCAGTACCATGTTCTCCATGAGCAGCGGCAGTTAGGGCCTATTACCCCGGGTAGGGGACTCAAACAAGGTGACCCGTTATCCCCTTACTTGTTTCTTTTTGTTACAGAAGGGTTGAGCACAATGATAGAGAAGAGGATGTCTATGGGCCTTTTGCATGGGGCGATTGTCGCTAGAGGTGCCCCGTCTATTTCACACTTTCTATGTGCTGGATACTTACGCTAAGGCTTCTGGTCAATACATAAATTACGAAAAATCCGCTGCTTGTTTTAGTGCTAATGTACCACAGAACATGCAGAATGAGGTGGTTGATATTCTCTGTGTAACACCCCCTAATTTCCATGCTAATTAAAGCCTTAAACATGCAGATATCTAGGCAAAACATCAAACACAGCGGAAGACTGAAAAAGGATTATATAAACTGGAAACGGAAGGGGTGTTATGCCACGATCACACAGAGGTGAACGCACAGGCTAAAATCTGCATAATTCATAAACTAAAACCATACATGTCCAAAGTACTAAAATCTATCCTTGGCACACAGGCCATAACAACACAAGATGGGAGCTACACTAGCAGGCTCTAGACCGTGCTCACGTCTAAACATCACCTGAAAGAAACACATAAAAGATGGGACGACGCCCGGTCAGCGAATAATGCTGGTAACCCACCAATACATGTGAAATATCATACATAGATAAGATATACGTTTGTAAAATCATTTGCGAAACGGAATATGTATATATAAGTTCCAAAACCGAGAGCAGAAGTCAACACAAGACTCTAAGCACTCACAACAAGGTAAGGGAACACATCCCAAGACCACACGAGATACAACGCCTCACAAGAACGGCTCAAAGCATAATTTACCATCACACAGTAGATTAACACCCGACATGCATAACTCAAGAGAATAAGACACAACCAATGGCAACACATGCCTTTGTGACTACACACGTCACAAGAAGAGAACTCACAACAACGGCTACACAAGCCTTCGTGACATCACACATCACGAATTGATATGCCTTCCTTATGCCCGGTTCCAACCTTATGGCTACCCCCAAACTTATGTCTAGTACCAACCATTACATCCAGGACCCCTGTACTTCTTAGTCCAACCTTTTCCCTCTTGGGACCGTCGTCCCCCACCAACAAACCACCAACAAGACCACCAATTCATAGTACACAAGGTATCGATCACACACACGGCGACACACGCCTCTCCAAAATACGTGAACCCGACACACAGGTCACAAACTCCATAATCACATCATGGCCACCACGAGGACCACTGCCGTACCTTGGTGACTAGTGTCCCATACCACTAATCGTGCAATCCAGGTACAGCCACCCACACATCACACCACGACAGGAATCAATCAACGGATCACAACGAAGATATGAAACCATACTCAATCAAGGAGTGGATCACAGTCCACAACAACAACGATGAATAACACAAGTCATCATCAACGATAGGAAGGTACAAACAACACACACGCTAGCATTTAAACACCGAACTAGCATGCTTTTCAAACGGCTAAACCAAACGTAGTTCCGAAGAACACACAAGACTCATCTCGGTTCAACGAATCACAATGTTGAACACTTAGCACGATTCAAGACACCAAAACCTACATGGATTCCTACCATATAGTTCTAGACATACGAAACATCAAGAAGACGCTCAAATAGTTCCACAAAAGAACATCGGGAAGTCAAAAGACCAAATACGGAGTCAAAAGAATCACGGGGAACAAATCCCTCAACAACACCAGCATGTTCCCCGCGGGTGGACCCACGAGTAGACCCCCACCCGTGGTTCCGCCCGCGGGTACACACCCACCGGCCTTATGTTCCCCGCGGGTAGGCGGCGGGTAGGCCACTGCCCGCCGTTCCGCCCGCGGGTACGTACCTGTGCCCAAAATAATCCCTTCGGGGATTTTCAACACCAAGCTCAAATTCAAGTCCAAAACATGCCAAATCTCACCAAATACAACAAAATGACTTAAATCAAAGGAATAGCCAAGCAATGGCATACAAGAACCCTAATAACAAGCTCTAGATATGCATTTTCACAAGACAATGCATAAACACTCACATTTCATAGCAAAACACATGTAGAATCCAAGAAATCATCATATAGGTAAGCAAAATAGATTTTGTAGAGCATGGGTTACCTCTTATAGACAAAAACCTTCACTTAACACTTCACCAAGCTCCTAATAAGGCTCACCTTCCAAACCCACTTCAAGAACACTCCAAAAGATCATAAAGATTCTATCTTTAAGAAAAGACACCTTAGAAAACAATAAAAACACAAGATGAACATAGATCTTACCCTCCTAGATGCTCAAATGTATGAAAGGTAGAATCTTGGAGACAATCTTTGTGGATTTGACAAAGCTCCAACTTGGCTTGGAAGAAAAGCTATCTAACTTTTAGAGAGAAGGTAGAGCTCAAATTTGGAAAGTGTAAGGAGCAAGAATGAGGAGTGTCTACTAGGTTAGCTTGCATTACTAACACAAGGTGAAATGTCATGAATACCCTTACTAAAATGAAGAGGTGTAAGGGAACAAGGGAACTCCTCACAAAGCTTAAGGTACAACCTTGACTTTGGGGCTGACTAGTCAATTACTAGTCCCCGACTATTGAATTTTCAGGAATTTAAGGAATTAAATTACCAATTGGTTCAGGATTAATTACTTAATTAATCCCATAATTGAATTTGGATTACGGGGTGTCACACTCGGCGTGGAGGAGGGGGAGACAAGTGGAAAGTATTTGGGTTTGCCCTCGCTAGTGGGAAGGAGGAAAAAGGCTATTTTGGGCTTTCTGAAGGAACGAATACTGACCAGGATTTGTTCATGGAATTTTAAGTTCTTGTCCAGAGCAGGTAGAGAGGTTCTTCTAAATAATGTAATTCAGGCAATGCCGACATATGCAATGATGGTTTCCTTATTACCCCTTGGGCTATGCCGTGAATTTCAGAATATAATGAACCAGTATTGGTGGATCGGTAGAGTTGGGGATGGCCGTGGAATTAAATGGCGCTCGTGGGAAGGTTTGTGTAAACCAAAAGCTGTTGGTGGGTTGGGTTTTTATCGCTTACATGAGATGAATAAAGCCCTTCTCGGGAAACAAGCCTGGAGGCTGATAACTAGACCTGCTAGCCTGGTTGCACGAGTGTACAAGTCTCGGTATTACCCTAATTGTGGTTTTTTCGATGTAAGAGTAGGGAGTAATCCGTCCTATATCTGGAGGGGTATGATGGAGGTGAAGAGTTGTCTGAATGAGGGTAGCAGACGGGTGATAGGCGATGGAAGGGAGACTTTGATAGATCCGGATCCTTGGCTACCTATTGATGAGAACCCCTATGTGGAGTCTGAGTTGCATCAGTCGGTATATGATGCCCCGGTGTCCTCTCTCATGAACATGCAAGGTAATGGTTGGGATGTGGGTTACGTGAGGGATATTTTTGGTGCTCGCGATGCTAACTTGATTTTAAATATTTCTCTCAATATTAGGAAGCCCCGAGATTAGTGGTTTTGGAATTGGGACCACAAGGGTGCTTACACTGTTAAGTCATGTTACAAGCGGCATACTATGGTGGCTGCGGATGATCACCCGTGGTCCAAAGTTTGGAATCTTCACGTTCCGCCGAAGGTGAAAAATTTCTGCTGGTAGTTAGCTTCATCTTACCTCCCTACCCGTGACATTTTGATGACTAAAAATGTTGCTTGCGCGTTGAATTGTCATATGTGTAGAGATGTAGAAGAGTCTGCCCTTCATTTGTTTGTTTATTACCCTCAAGTTACGCGCCTCTGGAATAAGTTGGGGATGCCGCATATCAGTACCTATGAAGGTAATCATCTTGGTGACTGGTTTTTTTGGGGTATAAATTCTTTGAATGCTAGTCTATTGCCTAACTTTGTAATGGTCCTGTGGGGTGTGTGGAGTAGCCGAAATGACAGCGTTTGGAAGGGTGTCGTTTTTTATTTGAATGTAGTGTGATGGACAATTTTAAATAAAGTCCTCGCAAGTGCACGAGTCAGTGTAGTGATAGTGTGCAAAGGCAAGGGTCGATCCCACAGGGAATTGATATTATGCAATTTAACAACTTAAACTTAAGAATTAATTGACTTGATAATGTAAAGTACTGAATCAAATGCCAAAGATAACTTCAAATGCAACGTAATATGAATGAAAGTAAACGGATAAATCACCAAAAACAATAATATCAAATTAACAATCATAATGGATTAAACTAAATGAAACAAACAGGTAGCAAGACCGAACTTAAAATTAAAAGGCATGGTGTATATTCTATAACTCCCTCAAGTGGACTAATAAGAATTAAATTGGCCAAATTAAACTCAATTAATCTCGACACAAAGCTGTAAGATAAATCATAATTAAATTGATAACATTAAAACTCTTGTATCATGTTCTTAGCAAAAGGAAACTAGCAGCACATTCTAAAGAAAAGCTTCACAATTAGAGTTCTTGTACTGTCATAAAACACAAGGCAAATTAAATATTGAAAAGCTAGATAGTAACCTAGAAAGTAGAAACACAAAGCAAATTAAAATCTTATGCCAAATTGCTTGATTAAGTACGCAATAATCCAAACTTTAGGTACTAAACATAGTCATTAGCATTTCAAACTTTCAGAATGAATTGGAATGCTAATTACAACTTTCAGAATGAATTGGAATGCTAATTACAAATTACAAGATTGCAGCTCAAATTAAGGACAAAAGAAAAGACCAAAATAGCGATGTTGGCTACTAAAAATTAACGATGCTACCAACCAGTTTACTGTCCAGATGAATTGTTGTCGCCGAATGGAAGTTGAGGCTGCCGATCGGAATTAATTCATCATCATAAATAGTTTCCGCCTCCGAAATTGGTCCGGAGTTAAATTGATGATGATGGACTTGATGCCTTCTACCCTCTATTTATAATCCTCAGTCCAATCGTAACTTTGATCTCTCACCGTCCAATCGGATTTGTACTGAACGTCGCTGCGTTTTCCTCCGACGCGGTCTCGTCCGAAGCTTCAAATAATAATAATAATAATAATAATAAACTTATTAGAGACCATATATAAGTAATCTACATTTATTAAACTCCTACTGAACATGTACTACTAAAATTATAATTATTATTAAATTGAGTTAAGAAATTATTGGACTGACAAATTTTAATAACAAAATTAATTTAATAAAAAAAATAACCCAAAAAAATTAATAATATTTATAAAAACTACTTGTAGCGATAATAAATAAAAATAAATATAAATTAATCAATTATTACAAATTAACTATAAAAAAGATTATTTAAAATAACGCTAAAAATAATGTTTATCAAACTTCCCCACACTTATTTATTTGCTTGTCCTCAAGCAAAAATATTATTAACAAGAAAAGTAATTAAAATAAAAGCAAGTATTAGATCGAGCTTCACCCAAATAGACTTTCAAATTTATTGCCACCAATGCAAAGTTAGTGCCAACTCAAAGAATGTATAAAACATTTGACTAGAAATTAAAAACTTTAACAACTAACATAAATATAAAACGTGTGCTCGTGTGATGACACCCCTTATATTTTTTGAATGCTACAAAAACTCAATAGGAAAATATGAAAATTTCACCAAATTCAACCTAAACCAAATTCACAAATATTCTATCACAGTGCAGGTGCAAAACATGAAGGAAATAAGGATCAAGGCATTTATTAAAATTGAAATGCAATTGCTCGTCTCTTCCAAAGTTCACTCATTATTTTTTCTATTTTGACTTTTTCCAAAGAGAACTTCCCCAAAAACCTCGCCATTTTACGCCAGACTTATTTGGGTTTTCAATTTTGTGTGTACTCATAAACCAGACCACGACACTTATTTATTTATTTATGGTACATGTGTATAAGTGGCTGATTCAGCAGAGTAGAATCTCTGAGATTAAAACAAATAAAATAAAATAAATAGATAAATAAAACACTCTCATTTATTTTTGAATATATTTTTAAATCTTTTGTTAAAAGAATTTTCACCTCACTTATGCCACAAAGACGATCCTTGAACCAACACACTACACCACAATTTATAGCACTCAAGAATTATTTAAGAATTTAAAAAAGGTAATATAAGGTGAAATCAACATATAAACTATTAAAGAAAATACATAAAAGTATAAAACATATAAAGGTATTTGTGATTTTGCAAACTCTAATTATGATATCTTTTTGTTTTTGTCTATTTTTTATTTTTTTTTGGCTATGATATAAAATTAAAGAAATTAACAACTAGTCAAAAGCAATATACACGCTAAGAGTTGACAAAAATATGCATTATTACTATCAGCAAATATTTAAAAGAATCACAAGTGTAAAGCTCAAACTAATGCTAGAATTTTAAAATAAATTTTTTTAAGAAAATGAACATAAGAAAATTAAAAAGTTTGAAATTAAAAAAGAAATTAAAAAAGGTTAAGAAAATATACATAAGAAAATTAAAAAGTTTAAAATTTTTCAATTTTTTGTGATTTGTGGGTAAAATCCCTTCCCCACACTTATTTTCAACATTGTCCTCAATGTTGTGAGAGGAAAGAAAAGAAAACAAAGAGAGTCATCCTTTATTAGATTTTTTATGTGTGGAATTATCATTTAGCCATGCAGTTTGAGAATAACAAAAAGAAACTAATTTATCAACGCCATTCAAAAGATTTTCTTTTTGAATTTTATCGAAACACAACTTACCATCATCAGCAAAATTCAACCCTACAAAAACTTGTTATATCTATCAGACAGATTCATAGATGTAAAAATTGAAAACTTTGCAGTTTCAGCAAGCACATTTTTGGTCAATTTATCTTCTTGAGCATCAATAGGTATTGGGAGCAATTCTTTTTTTAGCTCTGCACCTACCATTTCAGGCACACAAATTTTGAGCCTATTTGGAAACGGAATTGGGGGCACAAAAGGCTCGGGTGCTACATAGGGCTCCTCCTCCTCAAAATCTTCATTTTGTATAGGTTTGGTGTTTTCAATACGTTCATTAACAGGAATTGGGGGCACATAAAGATTGGGATGCACATAAGGGTTATCAGATTTATGCAATTGAGGCTCATCATTTTCAACAATAATATCATCAACATCATTATGCAATTTTTCAATTATTTCAGTTGGTTTAGAAGTGATATTATCTTTTAACTTGTTTTCATTATTCAGAGCTTCTTCAGATTGACTAGGTAACTTACCTAGCACATGCCCTTGCACAAATTCAGCAATTTGCTCTAAATGTGCTTCTATTCTTTTAAAGCAAGCCTCATTTTTTTGGAACCGTTGTTCATCTTCTTCTTGTTGCATTTGGTGCTCATAAGCTTTTTGTTGCATCCGTTGCTCATAAGCTTCTTGCCGCCTATTGAAGGTCTGTATATAATCCTGCAGGGTAACTTCCAAAGATGGTTTTTTAGGTTGGGGTGACTCAACTGGTTGAAAATCATTTTGATAATAATCAGAATAAAAATTGGGATGATTTGCTTGAAAATGATTTTGATTATTATCCCAAAAATTAGGATGACTTGATTGATAATCATGTTGATTATCATCCCAAGAAAAATTAAAATGACTTGGTCGAAAATCATTTTGATTATCACCCCAATAAAGATTAGGGTGATTTTCCCAACCCGAATTATAAGAATTATAAAACGAGTCTTGCACAGGACGTTGATTAAAATCATTCATTGGACTTACCTGTCCAAAATCATTATTAAAAGGATTATTTTGGTTTGACAAAAAGGAATACATATTAAAATGTAAAATTTTTCAAATATTTGTGTGATTAAGAACGAAAAAGAATTTGAGAAAGTAGAATGGACTAATGAATTAAATAAATGAGCACAATTAAAAATTGAAGGAAAAGAAAAATTGATAATTATAATAAAGAGATTGGAAAGAAAAAAAAAAACATGCAATATTAAGAAATGGGGAAAAATAAATAAAGAAATAGGGAAAGCAAAAACTAGTATAAAATAAAGGAGAACTTAAATGCAAAAAGAGTGAAATTTAGGACGTAAAGGAATGAGTGACGGAGGAAATATCAAAGACCATATTCAAAATCAAATGTAAATTAATTAGAATTCAGAAAGCGAAATAAATAAATTAACAAAAGCCAAAATAACAAATTAACAATCAAATAAAGCATGCAGAAAACAAGAACAAATATAAAGCAGTTTTTTAAACAGACGAACGAATCAAATAAAATGCAAGATTAAAGAATGAAAAAGATGACAATAATGAAGGGATAGGGAAAAAAAAAACAAGCAACTAACGAAAAAAAAAAAACAGAAAATTACATTGCAAAATAAACAATTCCCCGGCAACGGCGCCAAAAATTGATGGACAATTTTAAATAAAGTCCTCGCAAGTGCACGAGTCAGTGTAGTGATAGTGTGCAAAGGCAAGGGTCGATCCCACAGGGAATTAATATTATGCAATTTAACAACTTAAACTTAAGAATTAATTGACTTGATAATGTAAAGTACTGAATCAAATGCCAAAGATAACTTCAAATGCAACGTAATACGAATGAAAGTAAACGGATAAATCACCAAAAACAATAATATCAAATTAACAATCATAATGGATTAAACTAAATGAAAACAAACAGGTAGCAAGACCGAACTTAAAAGTAAAAGGCATGGTGTATATTCTATAACTCCCTCAAGTGGACTAATAAGAATTAAATTGGCCAAATTAAACTCAATTAATCTCGACACAAAGCTGTAAGATAAATCATAATTAAATTGATAACATTAAAACTCTTGTATCATGTTCTTAGCAAAAGGAAACTAGTGCCGGTGCTCACTGCGCACAAGGAGCCCCCCTCACTTTGAGAGGTTGCTCCCACACTGCCTCTGGTGAGACTCGATCCCTAGTCATTCTTCCAAAATTTCACCTCTATGACCAGTTGAGCTACCCATGCGGGCAAGGCAAATTAAATATTGAAAAGCTAGATAGTAACCTAGAAAGTAGAAACACAAAGCAAATTAAAATCTTATGCCAAATTGCTTGATTAAGTACGCAATAATCCAAACTTTAGGTACTAAACATAGTCATTAGCATTTCAAACTTTCAGAATGAATTGGAATGCTAAGTACAACTTTCAGAATGAATTGGAATGCTAATTACAAATTACAAGATTGCAGCTCAAATTAAGGACAAAAGAAAAGACCAAAATAGCGATGTTGGCTACTAAAAATTAACGATGCTACCAACCAGTTTACTGTCCAGATGAATTGTTGTCGCCGAATGGAAGTTGAGGCTGCCGATCGGAATTAATTCACCATCAGAAATAGTTTTCGCCTCCGAAATTGGTCCGAAGTTAAATTGATGATGATGGACTTGATGCCTTCTACCCTCTATTTATAATCCTCAGTCCAATCGTAACTTTGATCTCTCACCGTCCAATCGGATTTGTACTGAACGTCGCTGCGTTTTCCTCCGACGCGGTCTCGTCCGAAGCTTCAGCTATTCAATAGGATCGTAGCTTTGACGGAGAAGAAGTCTGCGAGTCCTTTGATTCTAAATAATAATAATAATAATAATAATAATAAACTTATTAGAGCATCCACACTTGTGGATAATAAGGGGAAATTTCAGAATGCATTCTACTGAGTGGGGAGCAAAGCTAATGTAGGGGAGAATTAATTCAAGGAGAATTCATCTGCAATGGTAGAAATATTGCGAAAACCAAGAAAAAAAAGAGAGAAAGATGATCTGAAAAAAAAAGAGAGAAAGATGATCTGAAGCGCACAGCAAGCGTGCCAGCCCATTCTTTTTATTTTTTTTTTATTTTTTTTTATTTTTTTATTTTTGTTTTTTTGTTTTTTTTTCTCCCCTTCTCACATTCTCTCTCCTAATCACTCTTACATTATCCCCCAATTCTCTCCAACTAATGTGGATGCTCTTAGAGACCGTAATCTACATTTATTAAACCCCTACTGAACATGTACTACCAAAATTATAATTATTATTAAATTGAGTTAAGAAATTATTGGACTAACAAATTTTAATAACAAAATTAATTTAATAACAAAAATAACCCAAAAAAATTAACAATATTTATAAAAACTACTTGTAGCGATAATAAATAAAAATAAATATAAATTAATCAATTATTACAAATTAACTATAAAAAAGATTATTTAAAATAACGCTAAAAATAATGTTTATCATAGTTGTTCAGAGAATTTTGTTATTTCTGGATAGTTGGAGGGCTGTAAATGAGGAGTCACCAGGCCAGGACACAAATGTGGCCGTGACTACATGGACGAAACCTGTTCAGGGGCGATTGAAATTGAATACGGACGCGGCGTTACGTGAGACTAGTAATGTTATGGGTTTTGGTTGGGTACTTCGCGATGACAATGGGAATTTCTTAGCGGCCAAGAATATGTTGTTGCCTGGGGTCTTTATGGTGAAAGAAGGAGAGGCTTTGAGCATCCGGGAAGCTATGAGTTGGTTGAAGAATACATGTATGGGCTCCGTGGATATAGAGATGGATAGTCAGGTTGTTTATCATGCTATTGGTTCGCCTGCTTTTAATTCTGCTTTTGGTTTCATTGTTGATGATATTAAAAATTTAGCGTCTGAGATGGGTGATGTTAAATTTTGTTGTGTAAAGCGATCTGCGAATAGTGCCGCCCACATTGTTGCTAGGGAGGCCTTTTCTGAGTCAGGTTCCGGGGAGTGGTTTGACTCTCCACCATCTTTTCTTGTAAACGTTATTCTCGGTGATTCAAGGAATTAATCTTTCGTCTTCAAAAATAATGTTATTTCTTATAAAAAAAAATACATAAATTTGGTTGTTAATTACTCAATACATTTGTCAACATATTTGCAATTTATTAACACATGCATATCGATGTGCTTGCTGTTTCTCTATATTATTAGCGAGTTGAAAAGTTAAAATATTATCTACTAATTGATTAATTTATTTGAAGGTACTACTATTTTAAATATTTTTAACATAGAATGGGGCATCATACTAATTGATTAATTTATTTGAAGATATACTACTATTTTGAATATTTTTAGCATAGAATGGGGCATCATCAAAACGCCTAGATCAAATGACCCTTGTTTCAACATCTTTCTAACTACCTTGATCAAAATGAAAGGAATCATTGATCAAAATGTAAGGAATCTCAAACATTCATATGAGACTATCTCAATACGTGAAGTTGCTAGAGAACCAAAGAAATCAACCGATTCAAGACAACAACGGAGCCTTGTTAGCTTACTCTAATTATTATTGTTTAGGGACAAAATATCAGTCCAGGGGTTATTCATATAAAAACAATATATACACTCTAAACTTGTTTACAAATAAGCTGTTTTATCGTTTTATTTATTTAATTTTTTTTTTTATTTTTTTGGACAAGAAAAATTACAACATTTTAAGCACTCAATTTCTTAATACAGAGCATTTGTTCAGCACTTTATTTCAAAATTTCATACACACGAAATAAGAGGTTTAAGCAGAGATGTCAATGGTTTTGATTTCAGGTTTCTTAACTTTCACTTTGGGAACAGTTACAGTGAGCACTCCATTCTCCATAGAAGCTTTCACCTCATCCATCTTCGCATTCTCCGGCAGCCGGAATCTCCTTAGGAACTTACCGCTGCTCCGCTCCACACGGTGCCATTTCTCATTCTTTTCCTCCTGCCCTCTGCTCCTCTCTCCGCTGATCTGCAAAACTCTCCCTTCCTCCACTTCCACCTTCACCTCCTCCTTCTTCAGCCCCGGCAGATCCGCCTTGAACACGTGAGCCTCCGGCGTCTCCTTCCAGTCAATACGGGCGTTTGCAAAGGCCGATGTTTCCCCTGCAGAGCCGCCGGGGGCATTGGCGACGGCGCTGGAAAACGGGAACCCTTCAAAAGCATCCCACAAGTCTAGAGAAAAGGGGTCGAAGATGTTGCTCCGGCGAGCTCCAAAGATGCTTGGAATCAAAGACATTTTCTTGATTGAATGAGCTGAGAATTCTTAGGGTAATAGCTGAGTGTGAATACAATGAGGAATGCTTGAAGTTCTTCAGTTTTGATGCATAAATGGAGGAACACGAACGGTGTTTATATATGAGAGAAGATGATGCCGGAACATTCATGAAGCATCTGTTGTGTGGAGTGTGAACTGCAGGTCCTAAAATGTTCTAGTATTCTCTCGAATCAGAATATCAGTCTTCACAGATGATGGGAAAATTTAAATCATGAACTAATATGGATCAATTACACTTTTGACCCCCTCCTAATATATAATATATATTTACATAACATACAAAAGACAAAAAGTCATAACACAAAACACATACACATATTATATATCTACTTATTTTTCAAATGTAATTTAGGTACATGTTTATAGGTATAAAATTTCACAACACAAGACATAAATTTATAACATAAAACGCAATTATTAATTTGTTCCAAACACATACAGAATTCATATTCATAAAGTATTGAATTTAATAACACAAAACGCAAAACACAAAACACAAACACATGAATTAGGGTCCATAGTACAGTGTGAACACTGGTCCATGGTATAACAATCATTATTGTGTGGATCATGGTTCACACAAGTTGTGTGGACCATATTTTGTGTACTATAACATAATGTACATTCAATACAAAAATAATGTACATTTAGTACAAAAATAATATATATTGTATACAGGGGATATACATTATTTTTGTTCTGAATGTACATTATATTGTATAATGTACATTCAGTACAAAAATAATGTACATTTAATATGTTAAAAATGTACTTTTTGTTATAATCAACGTAACATTGTATGGACCATGGTCCATACAATAATTTACCATGGTATAACGATTGAGATGATGGGACTTGGGCTGATATTACATTATGATTTCGAATATAATTTGTACTTTTCCGGCCCAATTGTGTGTGCTTGTGCTTAGGGCTTAGGCAAATTATTGCGTGGACCTAGTTCACACAATGTTACGTGGACCATAACAAAAAGTACATTTTTAATATACTAAATGTACATTATTTTTGTACTGAATGTACATTATACAATATAATGTACACTCAACAAAAATAATGTAAATCCCCTGAATTTAATGTACATTATTTTTGTACTGAATGTATATTATTTTTGTACTGAATATACATTATTTTATAGTAGACAAAATATAGTCCGCACAACTTGTATAGACCATGGTCCACACAATAATGATTGTTGTGCTTATAACCACGGCTAAATATATCTATTTATTTATTCTTTTAAATAATACCAACAGTTATAAATGTTGTTAAATATTTTTCTTTATTTATTTTGTAAAATATTAGTAGCAAATTATTAAGTGCCGCTAAATTTTTTATTTAATTTTTTAAAATATTAGTAACAGCTATTAAATGTTGCTAAATAATATTTGTTTTCATATTTAAGTGTAACTTGTTGTGGTTTTAAAATCGCGACTTAAATATATTTTTTATTTTATAATTACTTTATTATATTTTTATAATTATCATTTAATTTTTGTTTTCACATTTAAGTGTAATTTGTTGTGGTTTCAACAAATTGAACTTCTAGGAACTTTAAATGCTGGAAATAATTTAACAACAGGCAACCCACACAAATTATTTTATTCATTATTTCAAGATATTACAATAACATTGATATAGCAATGAAAACATAAAATAAATAAACATTACAAAATATTACTCATTGCGCAACCGTACCCATCGTATTAGTTCAACTGAATTCATTCCACTAGCAAATGAGGCATTGTTGTCCCTTAAAATGTCAAAGATGGCACTAGTAAGAGCTTCATCTGTTGCATACCAAGTGACTCTTCTAAGGAAGTCAAATATGGCCTTTATTCTCCTCTCGGCTTCAGCAGCTTCAACCCGTTGTCTCTTCTTAGCTCTTTCATTCTCATCATCACGTCTTCTTTGCTTGTCAAGAGCTTGATTTCGAGAGAAGACAAAGTCAATCTTGCACACTTATTCGTCCAAGGTGACAGATTTTCAATATCCTCTAAATCTCTTGCCACTGCCTTCTTCGTATGGTACCTCACAACTCGTGTTGATAGTAGTTTTTGTCCTTGCTGCACTGCGCCTCCTACTTCTCAATTCTTTAAAAAATTTGTGAAAATAAATTATTTGTTTGTCAAACAATTTAAAATAGTATTATTTCTAAATATATGAAATAAATAGTATTAATTAACAAAATGAATATTAAATTAAAATTTTATTTAAGTTGAATTTAGTTCGTGTGAAGATATATATATAAGAGAAATAGAGTTACTTGAGTGCAAAATTTTACATTAAAAAAATGAAATTACACTCAATATGGATTCAATCACAGAATATATTATATTGCATATATAATATAACACTTTATTCTAAATTGTAAAAATTTGAGAAGACATCATCCTTCTAACACATAATGTATATTATTCTAACACGTAATTTACATTATTATATTCTAACCTATAATGTACATTATTCTAACTAATAAAATTCGGCGACATTGTTTTGGACCGTGGTCCATATAGCTGTGTGGACCATGATCCATACAATAATTTGCCACATCATGCAAGGTGGACCCTATCCGTGGTATAATTTGCCCAATAGTTGTAATGTCGACTGTGTGGACCACGGTTCAAAAAAGACATCGTTTCACGTAATTTTTGCGATATACTAATTGACACTTAATATATTTATTTTATATAAACATATAAAATACATAAACATAGTATAAGATAAATGCTATTAATAAACATTATGCGTCTGTAATATAATATCTATGTACATTAAACTTTGTTGTTATTAAATACGATACGCTAATTGACATTTAATATAACATTATATAATTTTGCACTATAGTATATCATGAAAGGCGGACTTCTTCCACTTGTTAAATAAATATCATATTAAATAATGGAATTTGTGGATTGCAATAAAAAAGTTAGGGCTATAGAGCTAGCGCAGACAATTGTGGGCAAATTATGCCGTTGAACCATGTCCATACGGTTTTAAAATTGTCATAACTATAAATATAGAGTTCAAAATTTTGAATATAGAGTTCTATAATTATGAACATAAACTTCTATAATTATGAATATAAAGTTCTGTAATTGTGAATATAGAGTTGAATAATTGTGAATATGAAGTTTGATAGAATATATACCCCGGGTTATACCTCTCTATACGTCCATGCTCTCGTTTATAGTCGGGTCAGGGTCAAACGGCTCAAGACGCGAACGTAGCTAGTCAACGAGTCAAGGTCAAACTCATCTCGGCTAGGCCTATAAAAGGGGCCCTAGCCCTTCATTTTGAGGGCTCCTCCCCTTCTCTCTCTTTCCACTACACTCTCTCTCTAGTTAGAATCCTCTCAACTCTCTCTAGAATTAGGGAAGAACAACAATGAATAAAAGATCATTTTGCTCTACTTTCTCTTGCCTACCTCATTGTTCATACATGTTACATACATACGATATACATTTTACATACATGGGAATTAATCGTATCATTTTGACGCCGTCTGTAGGGATCATGGCAAAGAGCTACATTCCTACCATCTAAAAAAAAAAAAAAAAAAAAGCTATGGAGAGATGCTAGAAATTAGGAGGGATTCGAACCCAGGTGGCAGTTCAATATTGGAATTGTTTGTTATGAACGCAGTGGCGTGCATGAATGCTATGCTAATCAGTTACTGTCACATTACTCAGGCTAGCAATGCACCGCCTTTTGTTTATGATGCACACATCCAAACCAGGGAACCCTTCATCTAAGGTCAGATTGTTTTTTTTTTTTTTCTTTTTTTTTTCAAAATTATTATTTCATTTGAAATTATTAAAACAAAATTTTAAAAATTATTTTTAAACACAATAACCGACATATCAAGAAATAAAATTATAAAAACATGGTATTTAAGAAGATGATCAAATGTTTAGTAGAATAATAATAATAATAATAATAAAATATACACATATCATTCCAATCAGCACAAACTCGTTGTTAACCGGCTAAAAATACTAATTATTATTATTATTATTATTTTTTTTTAAAGTTCATGAATGAATTTGTAACTTATTCGAGTTCGGTGGTTTAATTGCTATCCTCCAAATAGCTCAATAGCCCATTTGTACCTTTTTTCCTAAATAAAATCCATACCCCACTAACTTCACGACCTCCTAAATTTGCATGGGCCCTAGATGCTAGTGTCCCCACTCTAGTGGCAAAAAATGGACATTAGTGCAACATTTTAGAAGTGTTTACAAGCAGAATTTGAGACTAAATTATTGTCGAGTACACCCCTGTCTTGGCAACTCGTTATTGTGGGGGTTGTACTAATCTTTGACCCAGTTGTGCAAACCTTTGGTGGTCATATTCGCCAACACGTGTGGCAACACTCTGCATGTGACCATTTACCTCGCTCAAAAAGATGTTGTGCATGAAATGCTTGCATAGGTTCAGTAGTTGTACAACATCCCCTCTTTGTAGACCACAATGCCAGTTTGTGCAATTCAGCCCAGTGTAGAATTCCATGTGTTGCATCGCAAACAATCCGGAATCTAAGATGGAATTGGTGCTCCCCACGCCATTTGCATTCTTCCCGGTCTCATGTTCCTTAGGCGTAGTGCACGGAGTGTCTGGTGTTTGCTTTCCAGGTATGCGGACAGTAGGTCAATATGCATCAAACACAAATTTGTTAGGGAGGTGAGTAAAATAAATTGAGGTGAGTAAAATAAATCGGTGACATGCAGTGTTCGGTGCGCGTGTGGTTGTGCATTAAGAGGTGTGCATTCTAGTGCATTGCACCAGGGACTAGTTTTTTGGAACGGAGTACATAGACACATAGTGTGACTACTTTTTTCCACAATAACACAGTAAGACACTAGAAAAAGCCCGACCAGGTGTGTTTTGTCAAAGACACGTACCAACTCCTATGGTGCTCCATCATACATGTGTTCCTTGCCGATGAGCTGTCAATAATGTCAAACCTGTATTGCTTGAAACTAATGCTCATCACGTAGTAGCGTCCCTTGTGCCTTATTAGGGAGATATACTAC